TCCAGGCAGGAGCCCTGTGCGTGGCAGCCCTGGGCAGAGACGGAGGGAAAGGGAGGGGAGGGGAGGTGAGGGAGGGCTGTGACCCCCTCCCCAACCCCCCCCATGCCGGCCCCACTCACCCCTCTCCCTCCCGCAGGGAGCTGTAGCCCTCGGTCATCTCGCGGATGGCCGTGGGGTTCTTCCAGAAGAGCAGCTCCACGAAGGCCTTCTTGTTGGTGGCTGCCAGCGCGAAGAACTTGCCCAGGATGAACTTGGCCAGGGCCACCAGCTCCTGGGGTGGGAAGGGGAAAGAAGGGAAGGGTTGGGGGGTCTCGGGGGGGGGCTGCAGGGAGCGGGGTCGGGAGGGCAGGGCCCTGACCTGGTGGGCAGCAGCGCCGGGGTCGTTGAGGAGGCGGTGGAAGAGGGTGAAGAGGGAGAGCTGGAAGAGCAGGGCCTCCATGCGCAGGTCGCGGGCCAGGCGGTGCAGCAGGCGCACGGCGCAGTGGTTGGTGCGGGGCGCTGTTCTGGGCATAGCCCCGCAGCAGCAGGGCGCAGGCACGGACCACGGGGGTGCAGGCGAACCTGGACCCCCCCCCCCAGAGCTGGTGGTGAGCGGGGCCGTGGCGGCTCCCCCTCTGCCCCCCAGCACCCCCCGGGGCTGGGCCCCCCCTCACCGCTTGAGGTAGTCCATGAAGTTGAACTCCTTCTCCGCCACCTGCACCGCCTGCTCCTCCTCGTCCTCCTCCACCTCCTCTTCCTCGAGCTCCTCCAGCTCCTCGGCCTCAGGGGGTGCGTGCCCTGCAGGGGGGGAGCGGCGTTAAGGGGCGCAGAGCGTCTCCAGCCCAGGACCCCGCTGCCATGGGGCAGGATCTGGCCACGGGACTCACGGGGAAGGGCAGCGAAGAAGATCTCCTGCAGCAGCTGGGCCTCCTCGGACGGCCCCGCGCCGGAGGGGCCAAACACGTCCCCTTCGGGCCACACTTCCCTGGGGGAGAGGGGCACAGAGCTGGCACCAGGGCCCTGCGCCCTGCCCGGCAGGGGGGGGCTGGTGGGGGCCGGTACCTGGCGCAGCGGAGCAGCCTCAGGGCCTCGGGGGCCTGGGCATCCCGCAGGCAGCCCTGGATCCGCAGCAGAGCCTCCGCGCGCTGCTCCTCCACCGGCGTCTCCGAGGCAGCGTCGAAGGGCACCACGTCCTCGGGGAGGGGCACCTCGCCCTGGGGACGGGACTCGGAGTCACCCCGTGCCCCCACGGACACCCCGGGGTGGCAGAGGGCCCGGATCCTTCCCCTACCTGCAGGCAGGCCTGGAGCTGCGGGGCCAACCCTGCCCACAGCTCCTCCAGCTCGGCCGCGCTGGGTGGCTGCGGGGCGAGGGCTGCGGGTGCCCGCGGCTTCTTCTTCCTCCGCACGCGTTTGCTCTGGGATTGGGGTGGGAGAGAGAAGTCAGGAGGGGCCCCCACCCCTCCCCTGGCCCCCCTGGGTGCAGCCTCAGCCCACCTGCACCACGAGCCCCGTGCGGCGCGCGGCAGAAGCGCTCCAGCATGCGCAGGAAGAGGTGCGCCGTCTCCACCAGGTCCCGCAGGAAGGCGCGCGGCTGCTTGGTCTCGTCAAACTTGCGGAAAAGAGCGAGGAGGAGCTCGCGGTATTCCGTCAGGTAGAAGATGTTGTCTGGAAAATCCCAGAGGAGGGGGATCAGCGGGTGCCGGGGAGGGGACGCGCTGCTCCGGGGCTGGCCGGACAGACGGACTCACTCTTGATGACCTGGCTGCTGTCCCGCACCGCCGGCTGGGGGGAGCGATCCATCTCCTGCACCGTCCGCAGCAGCTCCTGGTAAGCCTTCAGGGCCAGGTGCATCCTGAGGACGGGCAGCGTCAGGGCACAGCCCGGGGGGGAGCCCTGGAAGCGGGGAGGGGACACGGCCCCCACCTGCGGGCCCAGGTCACCGCCTCCTTCTTGTCCATCAGCGCCATCTCGTAGTAGGTGGTGAGGTTCTGCTCGATGAAGTGGAAGGCGCGGACCCCCACCGTCTCCGAAACCAGCTCGGGCCGAAAGCCCCGGCTGCGGTTGAAGGCCATGAAGAAGGCGGTGGCCCACAGGTAGTAGGTCTCGTCGTGCTGCTGAGCCTTCTCCCGCAGCAGCTGGTCCTGGGGGCACAGAGGGGGGGGCTCAGCGTGGGGCTGCCCCAGGCAGGAGCCGGGCCCCCCCCCCCTTGCCCTCACCTTGACCAGCAGCATCAGGCGGTTGTAGCAGCCCTCCAGAAAGTCCTGGCAGAAGTGGCAGAGGAAGAGCCGCACGTTGCGGGCAGAGCGCCGCGAGGGGCCGAGATCGGGGGGGGCCTGGCGCCACCGCGGCACCCGGCGCGGCTCCTTGCCCAGGTCGTGGCTGTAGCTCTGGAGCTGCGGGACAAGAGGGGACAGCCTGACTCGTGTCCCCCCCCCACACACACCTCCCGCCTGTCCCCCGCCCCGCTGCTCACGTTGTGCAGCCCCTTGTGGAAGACGACGTCGTTGTCCCCATGGACTTCAGGCCCTGGATGACGTAGGAGCCGCGGAACGGGAGTGCCTGGGGGGCACGGGATGAGCGGTGCCACCCAAGATGGGGTCCCAGCCCCCCCAAGCCCCCTCCTCACCTGGACGGGCGCTGCAGCCTCGGGCCCTCTTCTCCGCCAGCTCCCTCTGCCGCAGGGTCTCCAGCTCCCGCGTGTCCTCCCCGCGCTCGGCGGCCGCCTGCCCCGCCCCAGCGCTGCCAGCTGCTCCGGGCTCTGCGGCAGAGCCGTCAGTGCTGCCCCGGGGGGCTCTTGGGGGGGGGGTCCCGGGTTCAGCCCAGCTCACCTGGTACGGAACATGAGGGAAATGATCTCGAGGACGTGCAGGGCCCATTGCTGCTCGGACTGGGCGCTGGCCAGGAATTTGAGCAGGTCGTCCATTCCCGCTGATGTGCAGCGCCCACAGCACCGGTCGTGCACGCTGGCATCGCCGCCACACCCTGGGGGGGGGAGGTGGCCGAAATATGGAGGGGGGGTCAGGAGTGGAATCGCCAGGCCCTGAGGGGGGAGCCCCAGCCCCCAACCTACCTCCTCCGTGGGGTCCGGGGGCACGTGCAGCACGTTGCGCAGCAGCAGCAGGATGCGCTCGATCAGCAGCGTGTCCTCCTCCTGCCGCTGCTCCCACTCCTGGGGGGCCAGCCGTGAGGGGCTCCTGGAGCCCCCCCGGGACCCCCCCAACCCCCCCGTGCCCGGGACTCACCAGCTGCAGCACGTCGTGTAGAGCTTCTCGCTGAGCACCCCGAAAACTTTCTCACTGGCGAACGCCTGCAGAAAACCCTGCGTGAGTGCAGGGGGGGGGTCTGGGCAGAGCCCCCCTGCCTTGGGGCTGCCCCGGGGACCCCCCGGGGACCCCGTGCCCGGCGTGCTCACCTCCTTGTAGGCCTGGAGGTAGGACAGCACCTGCAGGAAGTGGTGCCGGGCGGTGGCGTCCGCCGGCACCTTGCCGAAGCAGAGCAGAGCCGGCTGCGTCAGGTTCACCATCAGCCTGCGAGTGGACGGGGGGGGGTGCGTGGGGGTCCCGCTGCTCCCAGGGGAGGGGGCACCGCGGGGATGGAGCCCCCCTGGGTGGTGGGGGGTGGGGGGGCTGCCGGTACCTGACGAGCGTCGAAGAGCGCCTTGTCCTGCGGGGTACTGCACCAGGAGGGGCAGGAGGTCGTTCTGCAGGATCTGCGCCGCCCCCAGCTGCTGCCGGACATCGCGGGTCTCGTCCTCGTGCCGCAGGTACCGGATCAGGTCCTTGACGCTCTCTGCCGGGGGACGGGGCCGTGAGACCCCCGCCGCCCCCCCCGGCCCCCGCGCCCGTCCCCCGCCGCCCGCCGTACCCAGGCAGTCGGGCTCCCGTGGTAGACGTCGCCCTCCAGGTAGCCCAGGGCGCTGCATGTGGCCAGCAGCTCGCAGTTCATCATGTACCAGTCCATGCAGCGCGGGGCGGCACCGGGCGGCGGGAGCCTTCGGTGGGACCCCGAAGGAGAGCCCCGGGGGACACCCCCGGTGTGGCCGTCCCCGGTAACGGGGCTCCGGGCAGGCTCGGGGCTCCCCCGGTGCCGGTCCGATCCCGGTCCGGTGCCGGTCCGGTCCTGGTGCCGAACCCGATCTCAGTCCCGGTGCCGGTCCCGGTGCTGATCCCGGTCCCGATCCAGGTCCCGATCCCAATCCCGGTCCCGGTCCCGGGGCTCCGGGTGGGCTCGGGCTCCCCCGGTTGGCCGGTGCCGGACCCGGTCCCGGTGCCGAACCCGATCTGAATCCCGATCCCGGTCTCGTTCCCTGATCCCGGTGCCGGTCGGGTCCCCGGTGCTGAACCCGGTGCCGATCCCCAATCGCGATCCCGGTGCCGGGTGCTGGTCCCGGTGCCGAACCCGATCTCAAATCCCGATTCCGATCCGCCCGACCATCCCAATCCCAATCCCGGTGCCGGTCCCGGTCCCGCCGCCCCCGCGGCTCCGTTACACAACCGCCCCAGTTCCCGCGGTGCGAGCCCCGCCCCGCCCGCGGGCTTCAAAGGGCAACGCCTCCCCGAGCCGACAGGTGGGCCCTGCCTGCCCCCGCCACGAGTGGGCTCCCCGGCAGCCCCTCCCTCGTGGCAGCACCCGGGGGGTGCTGGGCGCTGCGGGGCGCTGCGGGGCGCTGCGGGGCCCAGCGCCCCTATTGGCACCCCGGTTCCCGCAGGGTTCCACGCGTTCTAGGGTGCAGCACGGGCGCGGCGTTGCCCCTTTAACAGAGGCCCCGCCCCCAAAGCGGCCCCGCCTCCAGGGGCGGGGCATCCCCCGAGGCGCGGGAACGGCCGCCTCCCGTCAGCCCCGCGCGGTTGCCGTGGCGACGCGGGCCCGGCCCGGTCCCCCCCGCTGCCGCAGTCCCCCGCGCCCCATTCCCTGCGCATGGTTCCGTCGCACCTTGGTTCCCCCCGCTTTCCCGGTGCCCCCCGGTGCCCCCCGGTTCCCGTTCCCCCCCCACCCCCACCCTCGCCGGCCCGAGATCGGTTACCAAAATAAAGCGCAGGTTAATTCACCGAACACAGAACTCCCGCCGCGGCGGGGCAGAGCGGGGCAGCCCCGGCTCGGTACCGGCAACCCCGGCTGTACCGGCGGTTCGGTCCCGGTCCCGGTGCGACCTGCCGATCCCGGTGCCGATCCCGGTGCCGGTGGCCGCCGCCGCCCGCCCGCTGCGCCGCACACACACGCACGCACCACACGCACCGCGGCGGCCCCGTCACTGCAAAGGCGCGGGTGGGCGCGGGGGGTCCGGTACGGGTCCGACGGAGCCCCCCCCGGGGCCCGGCCTACAGCCCCTGCGTCTTCAGCTCCAGCGGCTCGGCGGGCGGCTCGGGCGGCGGCTCGGCGGCGGGCGGCTCTCCCTTGAGGACGGCCAGCGCTCGCCAGGCTGCGCGGCCGCGGGCACAGCGCGAACTCGTAGAGCAGCGCGGCCAGCACGGCGCCCAGCAGCGGGCCGGCCAGTACACCTGCGGGGGGCGCGGCGTGGGAGCGGGGTCCTGCCCCCCCCCCCCCGTGCCCCCCTCCCGGCCCCGAGGTTCCCTCCCTGGGCTCCGGTGCCGGCCCCGGGGGCCCACCCGTTGGGGTGGGGTGGCCAAGGGGCAGCCATGGCCCCGGAGGCTCCCCATGTGCTGTCCCCGTGTCCTAAGCAAGGGGGGGGGCCAGGACCTGTCCCCTAGGGGGTCTCCGGCAGCCCCCCCTGCTCAGAGGGGGGTCACGGGGCCAGGCCGGGGCAGGGCCCCCCTGCACTTACCCAGTGGTTGGTGAAGTTGCGGTGATGACGGCGGGGGCAAAGGACCGCGCGGGGTTCATGCCGGCGCCGTCGTGTAGTGGGATGGGGGGGGGGAAGAGAGGGGCGGTGGGGGGCCGGCTGGCTGCCCCCGCCCCGCGGTGACACCGCCGGGGTCCCTGGGTGTGAGAGGAGGGGTAACGGGGAGGTCCCCGCCCTTACCCCAAAGAGGTGGCCGAGGGCGAGGGAGAAGCCGACGGGCAGCGCGGCCGAGCCCGGGCGCCCGTCGTGGCGGTCGTCGAAGCTGGCGAAGACGCAGAGGATGAACTGGGCGGTCAGCAGCAGCTCCACCACCGTGCCCTGGCCCGGGCCCACGCTGGGGTGCAGCTGCGGGGGAGAGGGGGCTCAGCACCCACCGGCACCCGGAGCTGTTCCCACATCCCCGCTGGCTCCCACATCCCCCTCCCGGAGCCCCCTCCCGGTGCCCGATGCCATCACCCCCCCATGCCATCCCAAACCCCGCAGCACCCCAAACACTCCCGGTCTCCCGTTACCCCCACACTACCCAAACACCCCAGGATCCCATCCTTCCCTATCACCCCCACACCCCAGAACCCCAGCCCACCCTCCCCCACTTCCCCTCTCACCACGCTGAGGCCGAGGGTGCCGCGCACGGGGGCCGGTGTCACCCCATAGAGGACGCCGCCCCGGCCAGGGCGCCCAGCAGCTGGGCCAGGAGGTAGCCCAGGGCGCGGGCAGGGAGAGCTGCGAGGCCAGCAGGAAGGCCAGCGTGATGGCGGGGTTGATGTGCCCCCCGCTGACGTGCCCCAGCGCCTGCACCAGGGTGGCCTGGGCCAGCCCGAAGGCCAGGGCGGCCCCCAGGACACCGTGGGGGCCCGGGGCCCAGCGCAGCGAAGCCCCCAGCCCCAGCAGGGCATAGAGGAAGCTGCCCAGGAACTCGGCCAGGACGGCCCTCCAGAAGGAGGACGAGCGCAGCTCCCGCATGGCCTGGCCCCGCTGCCCGCCGCGGCCCCGCTCCCCTCCCGGGGCCGCCCGCACCCACCTTTATACGCCCCCCCAGCCGGCCCCGGGGGTGGGACCCCACCGCGCCACCCCCTTAACCAGTTCGCTGCCCGGGATAGGGGGTGGGTGAGGGGCTGTGCGGGACCCCAGTGCCCCCCCCCTGGGGCAACCCCACACCCCCAGGAGAGCAGGGACCCCCCCGGAGCCGCACGCCCCCCACCCTGGGGCCGCTGTCCTGGGGGGCTGGCTCTGACCCACAGCTGCCCTCTGTGGGTCCTGGGGTCACAAACAGGCTTGAGGGGTGGGGGGCAGCACCGAGACCCCCCCCCCCCGCCAGGTTTTGGGTGACACTGCAGGGGGGCAGCGCTGGGAGCCAGCCCACCCCAACCCCACATCTTGGGGGCTGGGGGTGCCCCGGTTCAGCCCCACATCCCGGGGGCTGCGGCTGCCCCCCCCCCTCCTGGGGGCCGTGGTGGCCCCCCGCCCCCGCGCTGGTTATTCAGCCCGGCTTAGCGGGCGCTAAGCCCGGGGGGGGGATTAGGGCCGGGCCAGGCCATTGGTGCCCGCAGGAATCTGCCGGGGCTGCAGAGGCTGCGACAAAAAACTTTGCTGCGCTCAGCGCCCAGCACGGGACGGGAGCAGCCCCCGGCCCCACCGTGGGGCACAGCTGGGGGGGTGAAGGGATGAAGGGAGCGCCCCCCCCAGCACCCCTTGACCCTCCAGACCCCCCTAGCCCATAGAACCGCTCTGCACCCAGCTCTGGCCCCAAGCCGCCTTTAATCCCCATGGGGAAGGAGGTTTTGGGGGGGGGGGGGTGCAAGGAGCCCCCCCCCCCCCCGGTCCCCCTCTTTCTGCTGGGGGCACCTCGTCCCCCTGCTGTGGGGGCTCAGGCTGCGTCCTGGCCCTGCTGGGTTTGAGGGGGACCCCTGGGGGGGGCAGTGGAGGGCGAGGAGGGGGTCAGGCTGGTGGCCTCCACCGGCGCCACGTCCCGGCAGGCGAGGCAGGCGCCCAGCTTCTCCCGCGAGGCACCGGGGGCGAAGACGAACTCGTAGGAGAAGGCAGCCAGCACCGCGCCCGGCACCGGCCCCAGCCAGTACACCTGGGGGGGCCGCGTCAGGGAAGTGCTCAGGGGCTGCCAGGGGGGATGTGGGGGTGCCTGGGGTGCCCTAAGGGTGCCAGGGGATGCTGGGGTAATGGGGGGGGGCCACCAGGGAGGAGGCTGACTGGAGGGTCTGAGGCCTGGGTCATGGGTGCTGGTCCAGCGGGGCACAGATTGGGTGGGATGTTGGGAGGGGCGTCTAAGGGTGGGGCCTGGGGGGGGGTCCCACAGGTTGGGATGGGGACACCAGGGGGCCCTGCACCAAGGTTGGGGATGGGGGGGACCTGTCCTTTGCGGGGGGGGACCAGGGGACCAAAATCTGGGGGTGCAGCGAGAGGGTGAGAAAGAGCTCCTTGTCCGGGGGGAGGATGGGGTGGGGGAGTTCCACGCTGCAGCCAGGGGCACCCATCCCCACAGCAGTGTCTTGAGGAATGGGGGGGGGGACGGGACACAGCACCTGGGGGTGCCACCGACTCACCCAGTGGTCATCCCAGATGCCGGTGACGATGGCGGGCCCCAGCGAGCGGGCTGGGTTCATGCTGCCCCCCGAGAACGGCCCCTGGGGCGGGCAGGGGGTCAGGGCTGGGCAGGGGGACAACAGCCCCACGGTTGAGGTGGGGGGCACATGGTGGGGGGGGTCCTTACCGCAGCCAGGGCTCCGGCAGCCACAGCGCTGCCCAGGGCCAGCCCGGCGGGGCCGGCCGCCCGCTCGGCGGTGGCGAAGGCGGCGAGCGCCAGCTGGAAGGTGGCGAAGGTCTCCCAGCCCCACGCCTGCCCCGCCGTCCCCGCCGCGCTCACCTGCGGCCACGGCCCGGCCTCAGCGCCCGCCGGCACCGGGACGGGGACGGGGATGTGCACGGGGAGGGGGGGGGGACACGCTCACCCTGGTGACCAGGCTGGCATCGTCCGGCAGCGCCGAGCGCGCGGCGATGGAGGCCAGCACGGCCCCGGTGCACTGGGCCAGGAGCCCGGCGGCGCCGCGCAGGGCGCTCAGCTTGCGGGTGCAGAGCAGCGCCAGCGTCAGCGCTGGGTTGGCCTGGGGGGTCCCGAGGGTGTGGGGCAGCGCCGCGGCCACCAAGCCCCCCGCCAGCGCCGGTGCCAAGGGGCTGGGGGTCGCCGAGGCGCCCAGCACCACCCCCACGAAGATCAGCGTCGCCAGCGCCTCCGCCAGCACGGCCCGCCAGAAACGGGCGCTGCGCAGCTCCTGGGGGTGTCACGGAGAGGGGTGGGGGTGGCGGTGGGGTGACGGGGTGACAAGGTGACATGGTGACAAGGTGACAGGTGACGGACGGGTGACGGGTGACAGGGTGATGGGGTGACACAGCCACGGGGTGCCATGGTGATGGGGGATGTTGGTGGTGGGCCACCATGGCAATAGGGCACCTTGGTGACAGGGGACCTTGGTGATGGGCCCCGTGGTGACAGGGGACATTAGGGACTGGTTGCCATGGCAACCGCGTGTCATGGTGACAGGGGACCTTGGTGCTGGGGTGCCATGGTGATGGGGGATCCCGGTGACGGGGCGCCATGGCAATAGGGTGCCTTGGTGACGGGGATTTTGGGGACTGGTTGCCATGGTGACGGTGTGTCATGGTGACAGGGACCTTGGGGACAGGGTGGCATGGTGATGGGGTGCCATGGTGACAGGGCGCTATGGCAACGGGATGCCTGAGCTGTGGTGATGGGGGGGCCTTGGTAATATGGCAACTGGGTCGCCATGGCAACCGGAGACACCCCCCCCCCCCATCCCCAGCAGGAGGGGGGGGCCCTGGCAGCTGTGGGGGTGCTGAGCTAGGGTCAGGGTCAGGGTCAGGGCCACGGCTGGGGGCACACGGGGACCCCCAGGATGGGGTTAGGGGCTGAGACCTCAGAGCGGGGGTTGTGGGGCATGGCAGGGGCTGCCCACCCCCACCCCAGGACCCCACAGTCAGGGCTGGGGGCAGGTGGGGGGCCGAGGGGCACCGGGGCCTTACCTCCCTGATGGCCATGGCGCAGCTGGCGGGGTGAGCGCAGAGAATGCCCAAGGCGGGGGCACCTCCCACCCCCCCTTCCCACCACCCCCCGGATTTAGGAGGGGGGGGAGACCCCACGCTCAGCACAGATCGCGGAGCACAGGGGGGGCTGCCACAGCCATGGGGGGGGGGGGCTGCAGGGGTCCTGGATGGGGCTGGGGCACCCCAAGGTGCTGTGGGTGCCATGGCAACAAGTGGGGGCACTTTGGGGGTTGCCACGGTGACTGGCGCTCCGTCCCCAAGGGAGAGATGAAAGGCAGGGATGAAAGGAGATGGGGGGGGTGGGAGGGGTGCTTATATGGGGGGGGGGCAGCCCCAGCAGCAAATGGGGCCAGCCCCGCTCATGCAGCAGCACCAGGGGGGTGCTGGGGACCCCTGTGCTGGGGGGGCAGCAAGAAAAGCTCAGTGTTGGTGGCTGGGGGGGGGACGGGGGGGCCAGGCCCCACGTCCCTGCCAGCTCAGCAGAGCGCGGCCCCGCACGTGGCGTGAGTCAGCGGGGTGGGTGCCCGAGGGCCTGGCTCAGCACGGCCCGGCCTGAAAGAGCCAGAACAATCCCCGCACAAAGGGGGGGACGGGGACACGGGGACGGACACGGGGCAGCGGGGGCGGACGTGCGGTGGGCACCGTGCGGATGGGGGCCTGGGGGGGATGGGGGGGTCCTGGGGGGGGGGCAGCCCCATCGCCCCCATCGCCCCCCCAGCCCCTCCATGGGCACAGGCCTGTGGGGAAGGGCCCCCCGCCTGCCCTGCCCCCCCAAGACCCCTCAGGATCCCCCAACCCCCAGGCCCCCCCATGCTCCCTGCCCCCCCCCCAACAGGAGCCCCCTTGAGGGGTGTGAGGGGGGGGGCAGGGTACAGAGGGGGGCCAAAATGGCGGCCCCCCAGCGCGGCTTCAGGGCGGGGCGGGGCCTGTCCCGCGTCACGTGCCGGGGGAGGGCGGCGCCAAGATGGCGGGCGTGCGGGAAGGGAGGGAGGGGGTTGAGGGGGGGAAGCACGTGACCGCCCCCTCCAAAATGGCCGCGCCCACGGCTCCGAGCGCCCGCCCCGCTGAGGCCTAATGGCGGCGGGCGGGGCCGGGCCGCCTTAAAGGGGCCGCGACCCCCAAACGGGCTCAAACCCGAACCCTCCGCACCGGGGAGCCCCGTACGGGCCTGACGGGGGGGCACCGACCCCTTCCGTCCCCCCCCAGAGCCCCGAGTTCAGCCCCGGTGGCGGGCGGGGGGGCCTCGCGGCGGGCGCTAGGACCCGTGAGGCGGCGGGGCCCGCCCCGGAAGCGGCGTGACGTCACGCGGAGCCGCCCCGCCCCGCCCCGCCGCGCGCTCGGCGATGCTGCTCTCGGTGCCGCCGCGCCCCGGCCTGGCCGCGTTCGCCTGCAGCAAGGGGGGCAAAAAGGTAAAAAAAAAAAACCAACAAAATAACCCCAAAAACCCCCAAAACCGGGACGGGGGGGGGCGGGAGGGGCCTAACCCTGCCCCGCCTCCCCCGGTGGGGAAGGAACCGGGGGGTTAAACCGGCTCCGTGCCCCCCCCCCCCCCCGGTTCCCAGCAGCCCTATGTGCCGCCGCCGCCAGCCATGGGCCCCCCCAGCCCCGGCCCCTGCCCCCCCCCCGGGGGGGCGGGCGAGCAGCTGAGCAAAACCAACCTGTACATCCGCGGGCTGCACCCCGGCACCACCGACCAGGACCTGGTGAAGCTCTGCCAGCCGTGAGTGGGGCCGGGCAGGCCGCGGGTGCGTGCCTCCGGGGGTGGGGGGGGGTTACCGGGAGGGGGGAGGTGCAGGGGGTGACCCCCCCCCCCCCCCCCCCCGGTGTTGTCTGTGTGTGCCCCCCACAGGTACGGGAAGATCGTCTCCACCAAAGCCATCCTGGATAAGACGACCAATAAGTGCAAAGGTTGGTTTTTGGGGGGGTTTTGGGGTCGCTCCTCTGGTTTTGGGGTCGCTCCCTGTTTTGGGGTCACTCCCCTGTTTTGGGGTCACCCTCGGGTTTGGGGTCCCCCCTCTCCTTTTTGGGTCCCCCCCTAACTGCCTGTCTCTGCTTCTCTCCCCCCCCCCCCCCCAAAAAAAAACCCTCCAGGCTACGGCTTCGTCGACTTTGACAGCCCCACGGCGGCCCAGAAGGCGGTGACAGCGCTCAAGGCCAGCGGGGTGCAGGCGCAGATGGCCAAGGTACGGGGTCCGGAGCCCCCCTCCCCACTGCCCACCCCATTTTGGGGTCATCCCGATCCCGTGCGACCCCTCTGACCCCCCCCCCCCCCGTGTTCCCCACTGCAGCAACAGGAGCAGGACCCCACCAACCTCTACATCTCCAACCTGCCGCTGGGGGTGGACGAGCAGGAGCTGGAGGCGCTGCTGAAGCCCTTCGGGCAGGTGGTCTCCACCCGCATCCTGCGGGACCCCCACGGGGCCAGCCGTGGGGTCGGCTTCGCACGGTACGGGGCCTGGTGCAGGGGTGGGGGGGGACCTAGAATAATGAGGGGGGGGGCTGTGCGGGTCCTGGGTGTTGTCCCCACGCCCCAGCCACGCTCCCCCCCCACCAGGATGGAGTCGACGGAGAAGTGCGAGGCCGTCATCACCCACTTCAACGGGAAGTACATCAAAACCCCCCCGGGGGTGCCAGGTAGGCCGAGGGGGGGGCAGAGAGGAGGTTGGGGGGGTGGGTGGTGGCACCGTGACACTGACGCTGCCCCCCCGCAGCCCCCCCGGACCCCCTGCTCTGCAAGTTCGCGGATGGGGGGCAGAAGAAGCGGCAGAGCCAGGGCAAGTTCGTGCCCAAGGGAGAGCCTGGGCCCGGGATGGCGATGCGGTGAGTGGGGGCAATTTGGGATTAAAGGGGGGGCGCAGTAGGGTTTGCCTCCTGGCAGGGACCCCCCCCCCATATTGGGAGTGGAGGGGCTGTGGGGGCAGCCCCAACCCTTCTGTGTCCCCCCCAGGGCACCGTGACCTTGGCCTACGACCCCACGACGGCGCTGCAGAACGGGTGGGTGCTCGGAGGGGCTGGTGGGAGGGGGGGGCTGCACGCCCCCCACCCCCGACACCCCCAATAAACCCTCCCCGTGCCCCCCAGCTTCTACCCCGCCCCCTACGGCCTGGCCCCCACCAGGATGATCGCGCCCACCGCCCTGGCCCCTACCTGCCCTCGCCCGTCTCCTCCTACCAGGTACGTGGGGGCGGCGTGGGGGGGGCCCTGCAGGACTGGGGGTGTCCCCAACGGGTCTGTGTGTGTGGGGGGTCCCTGTGGGGCCAGACCCCCCCGGGGTCGTGCCCCCTGGCCCCCCCCTCACCGGCTGCTCCTCAGGTGCACAGCCCGGCCTGGATGCCCCCCTCCTACCTCGTGCAGCCCACGGTGAGCCCCGGGGGGGGGGGGAGAGGGGGGGGCCCTGCCCCCACACCTGCCCCAGGCCACGCCCCCTCCTCTGGCCCCGCCCACTTGCCTCCAAGGCCCCGCCCACTTTGCCCATGGGGCCCCGCCCACTTGTCTCCAAAGCCCCGCCCACTTTGCCCATGCTCCGCCCCCTGTGGCCTTAGCCCCGCCCACTATGCCCAAGGCCACGCCCCCACCCCAGCCCCCCCACCCATGGCCACGCCCCCCAAGCATTGGCCACGCCCCCTCCCCCTGCCCTGCCCCTCCCTGTGCCCCCTGCAGGACCCCGGGTCCCCTCCTCCCCCCTCCCCCCCCCAAATGCCCCCCCCGGTTCTCCCCGTGCCCCCCCCGTGCCCCCCCCTGACGGAGCCGTGCAGGGCGCGGTGCTGGCCCCCGCCGTGGACCACGCCGTCCCCCTCCAGCCCTCCGTGGTGGCCCCCCTGGCCCAGCAGCTCGGCCACCTCTCGCTGGGCAGCACGGGCACGGTAAGGACCCCCCCCCCTCCTAACCCCCCCCCCCACATTGTGCCCCCCCCATAGCACCCCCCTGACCCCCCCATTTCATCCGCCCCCCCCCAGTACGTGCCTGCCACCGCCCTGCCCGGAGCCTTCCTGCCGCCTACCCCCCGGTGCCGCCCGCCATCCCCCTGGAGGTAAGCGCTGGGCACGGGGGGGGGCATTTTTTTGGCCGGGGGGGGGGGTCCCGGCCCCCTCCCCACCGCCGCCTCCCCGCAGGACGGCAGCGCCGCCCCGAGCCACGGCCACGGCCCCGTGGAGTCGCCCTCCGAGCCCAGCGCCTTCCCCTACCCCTACCCCAAGTAGCAGGGGGTGAGGGGGGGGGGGGGGGGGGGGCGGCACGAGGGACCCCCCCCACGCTGCTGCCGCCCCCCCCCCCGGGGATGGAGCCCCCCCCCGGCTGCCAACTGCGGGCGACGTCGCCCCTTCCTCTGCTCCTCTTCCTCTGCAAGGGGGGGGCCTGAAATGAGGGGCTCTGTGCTTCGGGGGGGGGCAGCCCCACAGCTCCCGCAGTGTCTTTGCTGCCCCCCCCCCCTAACCCGGGCAGCCCCCCCTCGGAGGGCTTTTTTTCCTCCTGCATTTTATAAAAAACAAAAACACAAAAAAAAAAAAAAAAAAGGAAAAAAAAAAAAAAAAAAAGGAAAAAAAAAAACCCCCCCCCCCCGGGGGGGGGGCCGGGGCTCCCCCCAGACCTGCAGCAGCCACCCCCCCCCCCCCCGAGCTGCGGAGCCCCCCCCGTGCCTTCTGCTGCCCGGTCAGTGCCCCTGGCTCTGGGGGGGGTGGAGGGGGGGCTGGAAAACAGTGACAGCCCCCCCCCGAATGCCCCCCCCCACATAGGGTCCGGCTCCCTGGGCCCCAGCCCCCCAGCAGGCCGGGGGTGCTGCCCCTCCTCTGCCCCCCCCCGCAGCCATTTCTGTCCCCGGGGGCTGGGGGCTGTGCATGTCCCCCCCCCGCCCCTTGCCCCCAGCCCGGGGGGGGGCAGGACAAGTGCAATAACCCCCCCCCCCCCCAGCACCGCTTCTACTGGCGACGGGCGCCCCAAGGGCCAGCCAGGCACTTTAGACTCACCCTGCCCCCCCCCCCCCCAAAATTTCCCCCCCCCTCAGCCTCTTTGGGGGCCACCGAGCCCCCCCCTTGCTTGAAGCCGAGTACAAGCGGCAGGTCCAATCCCTCCAGGCCAAGCTGCAGAACTTGGACCGGCAGCGGCGGGTGAGAGGGGGCTGGGGCTGGACCCAGGGCTTGGGGTGGGGGGGGGGTCTGCAGCCGCTCCGTGCCCCCCCCAGCTCAGGACGTGTGTCCCCGTGTCCCCGCAGGAGGTGGTGGCGCAGATGCAGCAGCTCCTGGGGCGCAGCGAGACCCTGCGGGACTTCCTGCAGCAGGAGCTGAAGGCCTGGCAGGAGCGGCAGCAGCGCAGCTGCCTGGGGGCCCCCGTGGACACCCGCCTGCAGCAGCTGGAGGCCTGGTACCGACGGGTTTGGGGGGGTGGGGGGTAAAGCGGGGGGTGGCCGGACCCCGCTGACACCCGGGGGGCACCCTCAGGTTCACGGCGCTGGGCGAGGGGCTCTTCCAGCTGCTGCAGCTGCTGCGGGCGCTGGGGGAGCTGCAGAAGAAGGTGACCTACGAGCGGGACCCGCTGCAGGCCGAGACCCCCCTCCTGGAGACGCGGCTGCGGGAGCAGCTCACCTGCCTGCTGCAGAGGTGGGGATAGTGGGGAGGGGGGGGGAGATGGAAGCGGGGCTGGGGGCTGCTCTGACCGCCTCCTGCCCGTGCCCCCCAGCGCCTTCGTGGTGGAGCAGCAGCCCAGCATGCCCAACACGCCCAAGCGGCCGCTGGTGCTGCGCACGGCCAGCAAGTTCTGCACCCGCGCCCGCCTGCTGGTCCGCCTGCACGACCGCAACCACCGCATGGAGGCCACGATCCACATCGATAGGTGGGCACCCGCCAAGCTGGGGGGGCTCCCGTGTGGCCCGGGGGGGAGTCCCCAGTGCCCCCTGCCCCGCTGGGTGGGCTGGGGTCCCAACCCCGCTGATTCTGCGTTGTCTCTTGCAGGGACCCTCCGAAGACGCGAGGGTGAGAGCCGAGCGCCAGCTGTGGTGGGCAGGGCCGGTGCCCACCCAGGGGTCCCAGCTTCCCCGGGGGTCTCGGCGGCCTCCCCCCCCATGGCTTCTTTCCCCCCCCACCCCCAGGTTTCGCAAGTTCAACATCCTGACTTCGAGCAGCAAAACCCTCCTGGCTGGGGACAGCCCCCGGGAGGGGCTGATCTGCGACTTCCAGTACCTGGTACGGGCCCCCCACCTGGGTCCCCGTGGGGCTGGGCAGCGGGAGAGGACCCCAGCCCGAGCCCCTGCCCCAGGCCCCCGCGCTGACCCTCTCCTGCCCCACAGACGCTGAAGGAGCAGAAGATCAGCGGGTCGGGCAAGGGTGGCAAAGGCTGCAATGAGGTGGGTTATGGGGTCACGGGGCAGTGGGGGCGCGGGGTGGCCGCTGGCTCACGGTGCCCCGGCTGCGCAGGGTCCCCTAGCCGTGACGGAGGAGCTGCACCTCATCACCTTCACGCTGGCGTACGCCTACTGCGGGCTGGAGATGCAGCTGGAGGTGAGGGCAGGGGGCTGGGGGGAGGGTTGGGTGGTCAAGAACCGCCCGGCCTGACCTCCTGCTGCCCCCCCCCAGACCTCCACCCTGCCCTTCGTCATCATCTCCAACAGCAACAACCAGCTCTCCAGCGCCTGGGCCTCCATCCTGTGGTTCAACATGCTCAGCCCCAACCCCAAGGCAAGCGGGACCCGTGCGGCCCCACGCTGTCCCCCCACCGTCTCCATCCCCGGGTCTCCCTCCCAGCCCCATCTCCCTGGGGTCCTGGTGTCCTGTCTCTGCTCCAGGCCCGCTCTCTGTCCCCATGTCCCATCCTGAGCTCCTGTTCCCAGTCCCTACCCAACCCATCCTTGTCCCTGGTTCTGGTCCCGGTCCCACCCCATGCCCTGTTCCTTTATCTGTCCCCTGTCCCTGCCCCGTGCCTTGTCCCCAGCCTGGTCCCTGCCCCGTGTCCCTCATCCCCCATCCCTGCAGGACCAGCAGTTCTTTGCCACGCCGCCCCCAGCGCCCTGGCCCTTGCTGGCCGAGGTGCTGAGCTGGCAGTTCGAGAGCGTGGCCGAGCGGGGGCTGAGCCGGGAGCATCTCCAGATGCTGGCCGAGAAACTGCTCGGTAAGGTCGGGGTGTCAGCCCCCCCAGCCCCGCTGAGCACCCAGGCTGGAGCTGTGCCCCCCGCCTCATCCCATTCTCACCTCCCCAAGGCTCGAAGCCATCTCCGGAGAGCGTCCTGACCTGGTCCAAGTTCTCCAAGGTGAGCAGCTCCCGGTCCTGCACATCCCCCAGGTCCTGCACCCCCGGGTCCTGTGCCCCCCGGTTCTGTGCGCCCCCACTCACACACCCGCTCCCACAGGATGGCGCCGCCGGCTTCTCCTTCTGGGCCTGGCTGGACGGGATCCTGGGCCTGCTCCAGGAGCACCTCAAGAAGCTCTGGAAGGACGGGTAGGGCTGGGGCTGGGGGGCCGGGGGGGGCTGGGGGCCACAGGGGCTGACGCCACCTCCCCCAGCCTCATCCTGGGCTTCGTGAGCCGCAAGCAAGAGAAGAAGCTGCTGAAGGGGAAGCGGACGGGGACGTTCCTGATTCGCTTCAGCGAGAGCGTCCTGGGGGGGGTCACCTTCACCTGGGTGGAGCATCCTGAGAGCGGTGAGCGTGTCCCCCCCCGGGGTAACCCCCTCAGGCCTCCCCTCCGCTGACCCCCGGTGCCCCATCCCGCAGGGCGCCCTGCCTTCCGTGCCGTGGTTCCCTACACCACGGTGGAGCTGGCTTCCCTGGCGCTGCCCGACATCATCCGCGACTACCAGCTGCTGGCCGAGGAGAACATCCCCGAGAACCCGCTCCTGTTCCTGTACCCCGACACCCCCCGGGACGAAGCCTTCGGTCCCCACTACAGCCAGCGGCAGGAGGGTGCGGCACGGCGCGGCACGGCTCGGCGCGGTGCGGACAGAGCCCCCGCCGCCCCCTCCAAACTCTCCTCTCTGCCCCCAGGGATCCTGACAGAGAAGAAGGAATACCTGAACCAGCGCCTCATCCGCGTGTCCTCCAGGTGAGGCAGGGGGACAGCTCGGTCCCGGGGGGAGGAAGCCCCTCTCATCCCTCAATCCCAACCCTGACCTCGACCCGGACCTGCCCCGTGTCCCTGCAGGCAGGCCAACGAGGCATGGCAGACAGAAGAGGAGCTGGTGGTTGCCACAGAAAACCTGGAGACGCTGCAGCTGCAGCCCAGCAGGCTGGGATCTGTGCAGCCCACCAGCCCGGGGACGGTGCCGGTGGTGGCCGCGAGCCCAGGAACCCTGCAGCCCGTGAGCCCCGGGACGCTGCAGGTGGTGGCCGCGAGCCCAGGGGTGCAGCAGCCCCTGGGACCAGGAACCCTGCAGCCCGTGAGCCCCGGGATGCTGCAGGTGGTGGCCGCGAGCCCGGGGACGCAGCACCCCAGGGGACCAGGGACGCTGCAGCCAGGGGTCCGGGGTCCAGAGGCACCACCACAAGTGGGCCCAGGGGGCTTGGAGATGCTGCAGGCAGGGACCGGGGCGCAGGAGCCGCAGCTGGTGCTGCAGCTCATCCCCGAGGGCCAGGGGACGCTGCAGATGGGAGCAGGGAGCTTGGGGACGCTGCAGGTGGTGCCCGGGGGTACGGGGATGCTGCAGCAAGGGGGGGCTGGGGACCGAGGGATGCAGCAAGTGGCAGCCGGGGCCGTGGAGCCGCAGATGCTGTTGCAGCTCATCCCCGAGGGCCGGGGGATGCTGCAGATGGGAGCAGGGAACTTGGGGACGCTGCAGGTGGTGCCCGGGATGCTGGGGATGCTGCAATCAGCGCCCGGGGCCACGGGGGTGCTGCAACAAGTGGGAGCTGGGGACCAGGGGCTGCCGCAGCCAGGTCCTGGCGCTGCGGGGCCACTGCCAGTCGCAGACGATCAGGGGCTGCTGCCAGCGGGGCTGGAGGACCTGGGGCCGGTGCTGCAGGGCCAGGGCATGCAGGAGCTGCTGCAGCTCCTGGAGCATGACCTGGAGCCGGGCACGGGGACGCTGGAGACGCTGGAGGCAGCGGAGCTGATGCCCAACATGGACAGCGGGCTGGGGCTGATGGACGCCAGGCTGGGGGGTGAGTGCCTGGGGCTGGGGGAGCTGGGGGCCACGGGGGTCCCGCAGCACTGACCCCCCTGCGTCCCGCAGGCAACGCCGCGCTCCTGGACCCCCGCGACCCCTTCCTGCCACAGCCCGAGGACACAGCCCTGCCTGCCGCCAGCTCCCTCTTCGCCGTGGACACCGACTTTCCCCCGCTCCACATTGATGCCAGTGATTTCCAGTGACTTCCCCCCCCCCCCCATATCCCCCTGTAAATAAACCCTTTTCCCCCCCCAGCTGCCCCTGGTGCTTTGTGGGGCCGCCGTGGGTTCAGCCCCGCAGCAGACAGCAGCTCCTCATCGTTCAGCCCTTTATTAGAAACCCATAAATACCCCAGATAAATAGGGAGCACGGCACATAAATAGCCCCTCAGGGAGGAGGGGGGAATAAATAAGGGGGAGCCCAGGGCGGGCGGCGTCAGTGGGTTCTGGCGCTGTAGGTGAAGACGCGGCTCATGACGGTGGTGAAGGACTGCAGCCGCTCGAGCGCTTGGTGCCGCAGATGTGGCAGCAGCGGCTCGGCCCAGGTTGGGGTGGTGGGAGCCTGGCAGGGGCGGCCGGGTGCCTGCTAGGGGGGAGAAGGGGGTCAGCGGGCACAGGGTCCGGGGGTGCCGCTGTCCCGGGCGCAGGGCAGGGGCAGTGCCACGTCGCTCACCTGCACGACCCCCAGCAGCCGGTCCAGCGTGGCCACGAGCTGCGGCAGGCGGTTGTCTTTGAAGATTTCGGAGCCCAGCAGGTCCCGGTAGTGCTGCAGCCCCTGCAGGATCCGGCGCAGGCAGCGCTGCGGGAGCAGGAGTGGGGGTGAGGCCAGAGCTCCGGGACCCCCAGGGACCATCCTGGGCATCCCTGGCACCCTGAGACCTCCCCCCACATCCCCTGGGAACCCTCCGGATCCCCAGCGACCCCAAGACCCTCCAGGCACATTTATTCCCCGCAAGACCCCCAGGCACGCTTGTGACCCCTGGGCACATCTCTGGTGCCCCAAATATCCCCAGGCACATCCCCAGCACCCCTGGGTCCCCTGGGCACATCCCCCGGCCACCTCGGGGACCCCCCAGCATCCCTGCGTCCCCGGGTATCTCCCCACCACCCCTAGGATCCACAGGCACCTCCCCACCATCCTAGGACCCCCAGGCCCCTCTGCAAAACCCCAGGACCCCCAGACACCTCCACATCACCCCTAGGACCCCCCAAGGACCTCCCCACCACCCCAGGACCCCCAGGCACCACCCCACCACCCCTAGGACCCCCAGGCATTTCCGCATCACCCCTAGGACCCCCAGACACCTCCCCACTCCCCCAGGACCCCCAGGCACCCTGAGGCACATCCTCAGAGCATCCCCGTGTCCCATTGGGGATGAGCCCTTGTGTCCCGGCTACCCCCAGGGACACCCCGTGAGCCCCCTCAGGGTCCCCCACCGCCCTCCCAGCCCACCCCCGAGCCCCCTGCCCCCCCCCCCCATCCCGGTACCGTGTTGTTCGTGTCCAGCGTGGGGGGGGTCGCAGGCGTCGCTGCAGCGGATGCGGGTGGCACAATCCCCCTCGGGGTCCTCCACAGCGATCTGCACCCGGTTCTGGCAGAGGGGCGTTAGCAGTGGCTCCGTGCCCCCCGACCCCTCCCGGGGCAGCCTGCCCTCCCCCTTCCCCGGTTGTCCTCCAGGCCCCCCGTTCCTCGAGCATCCCCCGGGACCCCCCCCCCCCCCGCTTCCTCCGGTCCCCCGCGCCCCGGCCGAGCTCCGCCGCTCACCGGCTCCGAGTGCGGCTCCTTGAGCGTCCCCAGCAGCCGCGACAGCTCCCGGGAGAGGTCCTTACAGGCGGCCCAGTCGGTGCCCGGGGCCGGGACCGGGGCCGGAGCCGCAGAGACCGGCGGCGCCGGCAGCAGCAGCAGCAGCAGAGCCGGGAGGCAGAGGCAGAGGAGACGGAGCGGGGCCATGGCGAGACGGTGCCGCCACCGGAGCCGCCACCGGGCTCTTTATGGGGCGGCGGCGGCAGGTGGGGAATCCCCGGGGCAGGTGGCACCCGCCCCCCGTTACTGCGAAATCGCCGCCTCCCCCGAAAGCAGAACCGATACCGGGCCGGGGTCCCCGAGTTGCGCCCCGCCGCGCCCGGCCCCGGCCCCGCGCTGGGACGGGACGGGCAGGAAAACCCGGGGCAGTTCCTGGTGGCTCCGCGCCCGGCGGCACCGGGCACCCCGGGGCCCCGCTCCGCTCCCGCCCCGGGCTCACCTGCGGCCCCCGCCCGGGACGGGACGGGACGGGAGGGGCGCGGTGCAGCGCGGAGCGGGGTCCCGGTGTCCCCCCGGTGCTCACCCGCTGGCTCCCGGTGGCTCGCTGTGTCCTCCGGTATCCCCCGGTATCCCCACGGTGTTCACCCGCTGTCTCCCGGTGTCCCCTGATGTCCCCACAGTGTCCCCCCGGTATCCCCGCGGTGTTCACCCGGTGTCTCCCGGGGGCCAACGGTGTCCCCATGGTGTGCCCTGATGTCCCCACGGTGTTCCCCCGGTGTCCCCGGTGTCCCCACGGTGCCCCCCGGTGTTCACCCGGTGCCCCCCAGCTCCCCCCTCCCCGTTCCTTGGCACCACCGGCCCCGCCCGGTGCCCTCCGATCGCCCGGGGAATCTGCAGGGACGGTCCCGGCGCTGCTGTGCCCCGGCGGGGCTGTCCCGGTCCCCGGTGGCCCCCGGTGACCCCCGCCCTGGCCCCCCCGCACCCCCGGTAGCCCCGGTCCCGGCGGGCGGGGCCGTGCTGCCCGCGGCTCCGCAATCGCGGCGGCCCCGACGGGGCGGCTCCGGCGCTTCCCGGTCCTTGCCCGGCGGGGCTGCCCCCGGCCTTCCCCGGGAGCGGCGCCCCCGGCCCTCGCCCCCACCGCGGACCGGCCCCGGGGCTCGGCGGGTGCCCGACCCCTCCGCGCCCCCCACCCCGGAGCCCCGAGCCCGGCCGCGGGGCTCTGGGACGGGACGGGAGGGGGTGGGAGAACAGCGGCTGTGGCACGGGCTGGGGGCAGTGGGGGGGGGTGATGCTGGGGTGGGGGCGTGGGGGGGGCGTGGGTCCCCCGTGGGGTGGCAGGGGTCGATGTGTGACACCAGGGGACCCCGTGGGACACTGCGGGACACCGTGTGTGGCACTGCGTGGGACCCGGTGGGACCCCATGGGACGCTGCGGGACGCTGTGTGGGACCCCGTGGGACCCCGTGGGGCGGTGTGGGACACGGTGGGGCCACACGAGACCCTGTGGGACCCCGTGGGACACTTGCAGGACCGTGTGGGACACTGCGGGACACTGCGTGGGACACCGTGGGACACTGTGGGACCCCGCGGGACACTGTGTGTGACACCGTGGGACACTGTGGGGCACCGTGGGGTGTCAGGGGTCGCTGTGTGACACCAGGGGACCCCGTGGGACCCTACAGGACCCCGTGGGACACCGCGGGACACCGCGTGGGTCCCCGTGGGACACGGAGGGGCCACGCGAGACCCTGCGGGACCCCGTGGGACTCCACGGGAGGCCGTCGGACGGGCCAGGGCTGCGGCTCCTGCGGCACCCGGGGGTCCGGGGGGGGTTCCGCAGGGCCCCGTGGGGACCCCGAGCCCCCCGCCCGGCGCCGTCGGGGGCCGCGTCCGCCCGCGGCTTTGTGTCCCCTCCGCCGCGCCGTCCGGCGGGCCGCCCGCCTCGTCCCGCCTCCCCCTGGCGCTGATTGGTCACCGCGCGCCTCTCCGCGCTGCCATTGGCTCGTCGGCCTCACGGGGGGGGCGGGGCGGCTTCCGGGCGGGAGAGCGGGGGGCGCGGTTGCCATAGCGACGGCGGGAGGAGGGGCGGCGGCGGCGGCCCGGTGGAGCTCCGCCGGGGGCTGCTCGGTAACGGCGGGCGGCGGCCCCCGGGCTGCGGGGGCGGGGGGGGGCGTGGGGAGCGGCTCCCGGTGCGGACAGCCCCGGGAGGCCGGGCCCGGGCCCGCCGCGCCGCACCGGAGCCGCCCGGGGCCGGGGCCCGGCTCCCCGCGGGGGGCTCCCGGGGCACCGGGGCTGCTGTCGGCGGGCCCGGGGCGCCGCGGCCTCGCCCCCAGGCGGTTGCCGGCCGTGACGGGGCGCTGAGTGTGTCCCGGGAGGGGACTTCACGGGGGCGGCTGCATGCGTGGGCTCGGTGCCGCCCGTGTCCGCGGCCGGCGGAGGCGCACCTTGCGCTCACCGGGGATTCCGGCCGCCTTTTCCACCGGCCGGAGTCACCGTGCCTGTGCGGCCGCTTCTAGGAAGCGGGCCCTCGGTGTTTCTGGCCGAGCCGCTCAGTTCCTTTTCTGCTTCGCAGGGAGCCGCCGGTTTTCACCATGAATTTTGAAGGGCTCGACCCCTCCCTCGCCGAGTATGCTCCCGCTCTCCACCCCGCGCTCGACCCCGTCCTGGACCCGCACCTGAACCCCAGCTTGCTGCAGAACGTGGAGCTGGACGCCGAGGGGGTGCCCTTGGAGGGCATCGCGGTGCCGGACTCGGTGCACATCGTGGAGGGCATGTACAGCGAGCTGCACACCGCCGTCTCCGAAGTGGGCGTCCCCGTCTCCGTCTCCCATTTTGACCTGCACGAAGAAATGCTGTGGGTTGGGAACCACGGGGTAGGTGCCTCGGGGCTGCTGTGAGGAGCGAGGCGTGCAAGGGGGCTGCCAGCAGCGCGGGTGCCTCTGTGGGTGTCGCAGCCCGAGACCCGAGCGCTGCAACAAGGTGGTTGCGAGCGGAGAGCGGCGTGGTGCTGGGTTGAGTCATAGCTGGAAAGGTCGGCTTGGAAACTGGGAGGTGTGCTGCGCAGATGCAGGGGGTTTGTGGCTGGAAGTGGCTGATGCGTCCTGGAACACGGGAAACGCTCGGGCTTATTTGTCTACCAAATTGCCTGCAGGTGTTTCCCAAGTAGCTTTACTGCCCTGACGTCTTGGGACAGTGGAGCTTTTTGGTTCTTTACTCGTGTCTGCCTACGAGGGAAAAGTCTGAACAATTTTCCGTAGTTCTGGGGACACAGAGAGGCAGGGAGTCCTCTGTGCATGTCCTGTGTCACGTCCAGCCAAAGCCAGGGCAGGTATTGATGAGCCTGTCACGGGCTGCTTTTAGGGCCATGCCACCTCGTTCTTTGGCCCCACGCTGGAGCGCTACTCCTCCTTCCAAGTGAACAGCAGTGATGACATCCGGCAGATCCAGAGCCTGGAGAACGGCATCCTCTTCCTGACCAAAACCAACCTGAAGTACATGTCACGGGGGGGCCTCATCATTTTTGACTACCTGTGAGTGCTTTGCCCTGGCGGCTGGGAACGAGGGGACAGTCCCAGCTCGGTAGAGAAGGTCCCAGCTTCTGTCCTCTCTCCTCCTCTGCAGCATGGATGACTCCGAGGACATGCACAGCCTCCTGCTCACGGACAGCAGCACTCTGCTCGTTGGTGGGCTGCAGAACCACGTGGTAGAGATAGACCTCAACACCGTCCAGGAGACGCAGAAGGTGTGGCCTGGGGCACCGCGTCCTGCGGGTGCTCTGTCCTGGTGCTCAGCCCCGCTCACCCCCTGTTCTGTGTCCCTCCCAGTACACCGTGGAGGTACCCTGGCATCACCATCATGAGGCAATCAAACCGCTTCTTTTTCTGTGGGCACACCTCGGGGAAGGTAACGCCATCCCCATCCTGCCTGGCAGCCCCGCTGGTGCTCGGGTTCCCCGTGGGGTGCCCTGGTTTCGGTCTCTGGCTTTTCGCAGAGCTCAGAGGGCTCCCAGGTGGCCGGCAGCTGTGCGCCCAGCACCCCTCTCTTACCCTCCCAGGTCTCCTTGCGGGATCTACGCACGTTTGTGGTGGAACACGAATTTGATGCCTACTCAGGCAGCTTGTCTGACTTTGATGTCCACGGGAACCTGCTGGTGACCTGCGGCTTCTCCAGCCGAATGAACGGCCTGGCCTGCGACCGCTTCCTGAAGGTGTACGACCTGCGCATGATGCGGGCCACCACCCCGCTGCAGGTCCACATCGACCCCTTCTTCCTCCGCTTCATCCCCACCTACACCTCCCGCCTGGCCATCATCTCCCAGACAGGTGGGCGAAGCCGCGTCCCTCACCTCCTCTCTGCCCCTTCTCAGCATCAAACCCCCGCGGGACGGAGCTGGCGGAGCTGATCTGAGCCCAGCCAGGCGCTCCCCTAAGGGAGAGCTGTGCTGGGGTCACAGCGTCCTGCTCCCTGATGCTGGCTTGCTCCTCGCAGGTCAGTGCCAGTTCTGCGAGCCCACCGGCCTCGCCAACCCGGCCGACATCTTCCACGTGAACACCGTGGGGCCTCTCATCATGACCTTCGACGTCTCGGCCAGCAAGCAGGCCCTGGCGTTCGGCGACTCGGAGGGATGCGTCCACCTCTGGGCCGACTCCCCGGAGGTCACCTTCAACGCCTACTCCCGGGAGACCGACTTCGCCCTGCCCTGCATGGTGGACACGCTGCCCCACTTGGACTGGAACCAGGACCTCGTGCCGCTCTCGCTCATCCCCGTGCCGCTCACCAGCGAGACGCTGCTCTCGGACTGGCCTGCTGCCAACTCGGCTCCCGCACCCCGGTAATCTGCCGGTCTCTCCCAGTAAAAAGTGGAGTGGGAAAGCTGGTCCCAGCAGGGATCCTCTCCTGCCTGGGGCTGGGGGCAGCTGGGCGCCCCCCGGGGGCAGAAGCTGGGCTCTGCTTCCGGTCTCGTGGCTGGCAAAACACGAGATGAACGATGAGTTCCCCCTCGCACAGCAAAGCCGATGGGCAGGGCTGAAGGGAGCAGGGAATGGTGAAACCTTCACAGTCCTGGGGGGAGATCCTGGTTCGGCCCTGGCTTCCTTCTGCACGTGTGGAAGCGCTTTTCTTTTCTTTCTGCCTGAGCCCTGTCCTAAACGCTTGTGCTCGGCACTTCTCTGCTGGAGCCCAAGCACTTTGTAGTGGCAGAAAATGAACCCTGAGGTTCTGGGGCAGTGAGCGAGGGGGAGGAACCGTTGTGTCCCACCGGTGGGTCCCTGAGTGCGTCCAGCAAGGTTCTTGTGAAGCGACGCTGCCAAACGGAGCAGCTGCTGAGTGCTGGCATGTTTTGTAGGCGAGCTCCACCAGTAGATCCTGAGATTCTGCGTACCATGAAGAAGGTGGGGTTCATTGGCTACGCCCCAAATCCGAGGACCAAGCTCCGCAACCAGGTACCTGCTCTCAGGAGGGGGCTGAGCGTCCCAGGGCCCAGCTGTGCAGGACTCGGGGGGGTTCTGCCCTGAGGTCGGGGCAGGGGTTTGCTGCCTCTGGGATTGCACCCTTTTGGTGCAGTCTGTGGAAGGACGGAGCTCCTGCTCGTGCTAAATGACCTCGGAGCTTTCTGCAGGGCTTGGGACAGGGCTGGGAGGGGCAGTTCTCTGGCTGGGGATGTGCCAGGAGGCAGAGGCGTGGTCTGGGCTCA